ATAAAATATGACTCGTCAACTCGAATAACTCAAAAAATTTTAACTCGACTTAACTTGACTTGATCTAACACCCTTCTACTTGAACACAACAAAACAATGCTGATGATTGTCTTTTAAATTGAAGGCCTTTTCCAAGAAAGGGAAAATAAAACAAATTCTCGAGGAAATAAAAGGAAATTCTGTTTTCTCAAAGAATTAGATTGTTGATGCAGCCAAAATGAGAGTATTCAATTCATAGATGCAATAAGAAGAGAGGACTGACCAAGGCGATCATTTTACGAAAATTTCAAATTATCATATAATTTAAGTATTTTTTTATATTTTTGGTTAAATTAATTTTGTTCATTACAATTTTATAAATTTGCGTCCAAATATAAAATTAAATTTATCCTTATAATCACCAATATGAAAACTATGAAAATAAATAAACAATCCACAAAGAACTTGGCTTATTTATTTATTTGTACCGTTAATAATTACAACGGTGCACCTTGCAAACTATCAATGATGAACATTTTTATCGTTGTTGGACAGGCGATAATTGTAGATCACCTGTGTTCCTTATCTTTTTTTATATCGTATCTCGTTTTTCATTTTTTAATAACTATGTTTTCATGAAAAGTTTTCATTTGCCTTTATTAGGGGTGGGCATTCCATCGAGTAAAAAAATTTCAAGTTATTCGAGTTGATGATTCATAATTTATAACTCAAACTTGATTTGAAATTTTTTTTAGTCGGGTTGAATTTTTTAGTTTTTGTTTATATTTAGTTGTAAATATTCATAATATTATGATACTATTTAATTTCAATTTAAATGATTATTTATAACAATACAATACAATACAATATATCTATTTCTTTATATTTTTTCATATGATATACATATATCATACATAATCAAGGGATTCAACTCAAAATTGAAAATAAATCTACTAATTACTAAAAATTTTAAGTTATTCGAGTTGTATTTTAACTCAATTTGAAATTGAAACTTGTTTTTAGTCGAGTTTATGAAATTACAACTCGAAGTCAATTCGAGTCGAGTCGAAAAAATTAGTTTTTCGAGTCGAGTTTGCTTACCCTAATCTTTATGGCACATTTTCTTATATCTTTTAGTACGTTTTCGCTCTTCTTTATCGATCGTTTTGTTATTCTATTTCGTTTAATTTTCTCAATGATGAATTTGACGTCACATCAACCAATCAAGATAGCGTTTATTTGTTATCTTGAAGATCTTTCATGCTTTGAACCCTCAGCTTGGATTCAGATGCGTGTTTTAAGTTTATAGATAATTTTCTCACGACACTCGACTCTGATTTACAATTATCGATGGTCTTTCAGTAGTTTGATCTCTTATTGTGGTTTGTTTGCCGATGCAATTAGATTTTTTTGTATCTATCTTTCATTCAAATTTTTTAGACAAGATGTTAAACTTTTTCTTCTATAGTCTTTATATGATCTCAAATAGTTAATTAATTATGTTAATAATTATAAAAAAATCATGATTATGTATTTAATTTATAATTATAATCATGAACTTTTTTGACAATTTTAAGCATTTAAAAAAAATTAATTGCCTCTATTCACGTAAAACAATGATCAAACATTTCTCAATTCTTGCATTATTGATTTCTTTACAATATTTATAGAATAAATGGTTGTAAATGGGACCCAAATCCAAAACCCAAAACTCACTTGCCTTTTGTTTTTATTTTTTTGACTTGCTAACCAAAGTATATAATACCCCTGCCGGCTTTTTTGGCCCAAGATAACAAGTTTTTTATTTAGTTCATTAAGGCCTTCGGTTTATATTTTGAGATTTATTGTATTTTTATAATGTTATTGGAATTCGTCACGTCGAGGTGATGAATTTTAATAAAATATAATTTTTTATTAAAATCTATCACATCGAGGTAAAAAATATTATAAAAAATATTTTATTAAAATTCGTCACCTCAACGTGACGAATTTCATATCACTATAAAAAATAAAATAGATATCAAAATAAATTTTTACTTACTATTAGGCTAAATAAAAAACCATATACTGGGCCAATTTTGCCCCTGCATCTCCCCCTTTAGTAGAAAATGTAGCAATTAAAAACCCAAAAACCAATTGCATTGTACCCGTTTTTTTCTTTTGAAATTAATTAATACTTGGATAAAAATAGTGGTATAATATTTGTTATTTTATGACCCAAAAGGTGCTCGATGTGGGATTCTTTTTCTTCGCCTTGCATTTGAAGGAGGTTGGGGAGGCGTGTACGGATTCATGTCTTCTTGTAACCCTTCACGCAATTCTTCTTCTTCTTCTTCTTCTTCTTCTTCTTCTTCTTCTTCTTCCTTGATCTTCTTCTCTCCTTTAACCCTCCACTCTTACCCTCTATGTTGAAACTTGTATTCCCAATATTCCTCTTTATTCCTACAAGCTAAGTTCACCGTTAACACATGAGATCAAAAGATTCAAAGTTTTATGCATAAAACGATTCAACAATGGAGGAAAATTAAGCTTCTAGCCTTACAACCCAGTGAACAGAAACGAAAAGGGTCCAAGAGTGTTCTTCCACAGATTTCACATAAATGAGAAACTCCCAATTTCCCAGATTTTGGTTGAGGTCTCTGGTTCAGAAACAAGACGCTGGCACTGTTTATCACATAAGTTTGCACACCAGTTATGTCCAACACTTTGTGAATCTCTGTCACCCTCACTACACTACATCATGATATGAAGATCTCCTTATCTGCAGGGAAAAAAAAGAACCCCGAACACTTGTTTTTTTTCATCTTGATTGGATTCACAGAATGGGGAATTGATTTACCTGAATCACTTGATGATCTTTGTGTTTAGAAGAGCGGCAATAAAAGCAAAACGAATCGCCTCCACAGTCTAAACAATACAGATTACATTCCCCTCTAGCTGCAGCATCGCCGTGTATTCTGCAAAGTGTGAAAAACGCCGTGCTCAGGAATGGCTCCAGCCATGGCGGCACCGGCATTGTAAAGAACGAAGTGAAAGAAAGAGTGGGAAATGGTTGAAATAATTTTGCAACAAGAAAACAACGAGGGTGATGAACTAATGAAGGTGATGGTGGATTTTGGACGGACTAGATTGAAGGCGGTGGCTAATGTTTTACTTTCAGCCGTTGGATGGAATGGAGACAAGGATGGGTTTGGCGCTTTACGCTACCTTTGGTTCTTCTTTTGGGTGTCTACGTAGGCACGAGGTCGGTCCATCCTTGGCTACGTAACCGAGGCTTCAATGGAATTAGCTGTTTACACAATTTGATCATCAGCTAACTTTCCGCCACGTGTGCAGTTCTCCACGTGGCTTAATCAGAATGGTCAGATTTTAAAACAGGGCCCTAACTGCTTTATATTCCTTTTATTTCTATGATTTTTAAAATGAAGGAATGCACTTAAATTAGGACAAATTTAAGTTTTACGTATTTCAGTAGTTTTTTTATTTATTAAATTAATCTATATTATTATATTTTATTATATAGGTAAATCTTTAAATCAAGATATTTTTATTCTTATATATTTAATAATTAAACGTTTTTATATAAAATAAATAATTATATGTTTTAATTTTCTTAAAATTTGATGTACATAATCTAAATAAAACATAATATACAATATTAAAATATTAAAAGTAAAAAATATTAAATTGTATAAAGGGTTAGATTCATTTACACAATGTAAAACTCTTTAGTTTTACACAGATTTAGAATTGTTGGATGAGTTAAAATAGACAAATGAGATTGACTCATTGTTTTTATTCTAGTGAATATCTTATCATTTCGTATTGTTAATCTTAGTCATCTATTTTCACTCATCCAACTATTCTAAATCTGTATAAAACTAAAATATTTTCATATTATATAACATGATCTTATCCCTTGTATAAATTCATTTAGTTTTATGTAAGTAGATTTTTTTAAAAAGATATATGAAATGATTTGTGCCCAAAATATTATGATGGTTTTCCACAACTTTTCCTTGAAACTGCGAGATATAGAAAAGGATTTGAAAATTAAATAAGATTTTAATTATTATTATTATTATTGATCCCATTTACTAACTGCGTTTTATTTTATTTATTAATTAGATAATAAATAATAATAACAGTGATTATATTGAAAAAAATATTACTAATAAATGAAATACTATTAATTGAATATAGTGTTCATCGTATTAATTGTAGCGCCAAAATTTTATATTAAAAGATATTGATAATGTCATTGTTTTTTTTCTCTCTTGATTTTTTATTTATTTTTATGTAATATTTGAGTCATTTAAATAACTTATAGTATAAGTTATAGGATATTATTTATCTATATATATATAATCGAAGAATACTTGAATTTTAACAAATGAAAATACTCAAGTCTAGGTTTTCAAAATAAAACGTGTAACAACAGTCAATTCATTTTTTGGGATTAATTTGACTGTGAAACCATATGATTAACCTCTCATAAAAGGAGACAGCAGTCACAAAGTGGCACATCAATCAAAGAAATTTTGAAAGTATAATTTAGTTTTTTTCATATGATTTCAAATTTAAAATATTATAGAGAAATTTAATTTCTTAATTAAATTTTTTTCTTATGTTCTATTTTGGAGTAATATAAAGATTTTGATTGAATTTAAAAGGTAGAATTAATATTTTATTGAAAGTTTAGGAATCAAACTGATATTATATCTAAACTTTAATAGTCAAAATGATATTTTATCTAAAGTTCATAGATCAAATTAAAAATTAATCTTTTCTACTACCATACCTCCATATTATCAAGCTAACATAAATTAACGACTCAGTATTAAATATAACAATCGATATGTAAGTGGTCAAAATTTAATAAATTAATAATATAAATGATCAAAAACTAATTGTTTTAAAATAAGTGACAAAAATTGAATAAAATTGAAATGAAAGTGATCATTTCAGTAGTTAACCCAAAATGTTTTAAAAAAGCTCGATATGGATCCTCCGCAAGCTCCATTTCTTAAACAAAAGTCCGACATAATATTTCCTTCCAGAGTAAGAAACAATTGACCTTTTTCTTCGTCTTCGACTCGATCAATTAAGGTTTTTCTTTTTGGGTTCCGATCCCTTGGGTTCATTGATTATCCCACAATCAACAAACCTACCACCTGCGAGCTATGTTCAGGTTCTGGTACGTTTTCTGTTGATACCTCTCTAATCTCTTTTGATTTATTTGGATAATCAGATTCTATTTTTTAGTTTTTTTGTTCTTTTAATGTTTTGAATTTCGATTCAGCCTAGTTTTGAGGGTTTTCCCCCTCCTAATTGCGTGCGAATATTACTAATTTCACTTGGGTTTGTGAAATTGTCCAAATGTTCACAGTTTCTTTGTATTAATATAATTGTGGGTTTGCTTTATTTTGGGTTTTTTAATAACTTTTTTGGTCTATTAATATCTTTTTCTTGGATATTATTGTATTTTACTTCTTTTTTATTTTTATTTTTTAGAATCACCTTTTACTTCCTTTTGGGCGTAATAAGAGGCTGTATGGTCATCAAAGAGACTAAAATTTATGCTTTAGGGAAATAAGGCTGTTGTAGTTTCATAGTTTTATAGTATTGCAGCTAAACCAAAAGTATCCGTTCTTCTTCCATTTTGTTTTTGTTTAAAATAGAATAAATAAGAGGTGCTCCGATCTCATTGAAGAAATGGAACTTGCATTAGCAGTTTTGAGTAATCATCATGTGGAATTTTAGTCTCTAATATCTATTTTATGAAGTTGGATGTGAGAATGTGCTCTCTTAATTGCTTATCATTTTAGGGCAAGTCTAAAGTGTAGAAGACATGCTTCATTTGTTTTTGGTGCTATTACCTGGTCACTTTAATATGCTCCGGTAATTTATGCACCGTATGTTGGATTTCAATGGGCTTAACTCTTTGAAATGGTCGAGAAAGTGTATCATTTTTAATTGTTGTGAATGTACTTCAGTTGTGTTGTGGTCGTATATGTGTGATATTGATCAAAATATAAAACTTGATTGTGATCTTTCTAACTTCAGTTGGAGTTGCCTTTTTCCGTTGGCATACTTTGTGACATATATATTTGGTTTCACTAAAATTTGATCATGTTGCAGGGGTTCACAGGAGCAACAAGCTCAGCCACGCCCACAAGAGGGTTCTTCACATTCTTCGTATCCTCCTGGTTTTAGCTCCCCTAATACTTCCCGGCCTTTGACACCAAGTACCAGTGCTTCTAGTAGCTTCGAAAGGCCACATTCTGAAGCTGCAGGAATCATTGCTCATTTGAGGGACAAAAGGTGGGATGTCTGGTTCTTGCACTCCACCTTGCTATTGGCAAGTAAATCTTCATTTCCTTTTGTGAAAGAAAATAAGATTCTAATTCCTTGTTAATAATTTTGTGCTTTACTAATGATCTATTATGCTCTGTTATTCATTTTGTCATTTTCCTGTTTCCATTATTTTCATCTGTGACTTCTTAAATGTTTTAAAGTTACTCAAGGAAAAGTGCTTGTTTTTCTTAAGAACGCATCTTGCAACTCCTGATGACCTTCGTATTTTCTTAGTGTTGATGAATTACGGAAGCTTTTGTCTGACAAGGATGCATACAATCAGTTCCTGCTATCAGTTGACCAGGTTAAAATTCAAAACAATGTGAGTAGTAAAATTTGCCCTATTTATGTCATTTGATGTTTTCAAATAATCTATGCATTTTTTGGGCAGCTTTTCTTATTTTCTTTGTTTGTGGATTTCTCCTCTGGTCTCGTTGTCTTATGGTTTGGCAAGGGTTTTGGTTAACCAGTGGGTTTGATGAGATTGATGACCTATTGCTAACTGGAAAACCAGAACATTTAGTGGATAAGGGGTGACCTCAAAACATATAAAAAAATGGTGGTTAAAGAATCTTTCATATTATTGGTTCATACCTCAAGTTTTGTCCTCTGGTGTTTCTGTATGTTCCATCCTGATATTATATGGGCTAACTGGATTACCTGGTTTTCAGTAGCCCACGTGTGAACTGTGGAGAGCTAGGTTTTTGAAAAATCTGCAAATGCTGTCAAGCGGAGACTAAAGACTGGAATTCTTTTCTCTAATATTAGGGATTATGCCACAATGATTGTTGAAAGATCTGCATATCCTGTCATGCGGAGACTAAAGACCTCCTAAAGGACTTTGAAATCTCAGCTCTAAACCACCAAATCATTTATGTCCTCATGGTTTTGTTGGTCTTTGTAGATGGTAATATTTTTACAATTAACTAGGATGACCCGATGGTCGATAGCCTGTCAATTTCTGTTAGTTAACCCTTGTTTCTTCCATTTGGGTGTGCTTCTTTTTAAGTATGAGCACAACTCGTTGCTAATCAGACACCTTTCTCAGTTCAATTTTCATTTTAGTTTTGCGTACTGTTCTAGTACCTTGTTGGTATCATGATGTGGTTGCTCTTTTATTTATTTGTTGTGGAGGAATTATATTGGATCGACCTGCATGAGCATGCATTGAGAAACACTGTCATTACCACGTATTTCGTCATTTGTTCACTTCCTACTCCATATGTTCATAACTTTTACCACAGATAAGAGATGAACTTCGGAAGGAGACTTTGCAGCTAGCGAGTGAGTTCTATCAATCTATGGTAATCATTGTAGTGCCATAAACTTTGCTTCAGCTGACGAATGCTAATTTTTGTTATCTTAATAAACAGGGAACAATCTGGATAAAGAACCACAAATAGTGGAGCTAAGAAACCAGGTGAGATGTCCAGAACATCTTATTCATTTTTGCCATTGATAATGTTATTAGAATATCAATTGTAAAACTTTGTTCCCTATATGACAACAGTGCAGAATCATCCGTACATCTGAACTCGCAGCAGCTCTGGAGAAACTAAACGATCTCGAGAGGGAGAAAGAAGAAATCCTTAAGTTCTACTCCCCTGCATCATTTATCAACAGGCTTCAAGGTAAACATTATGGATAATACACTCCTAAGGATTAGGCTCGGAATCATTGATAATAGAATAAAAATACGATGGTTCCCTCTCTGTAGATGCAGCGAATGAGACGGACAAGGAATCAGATGTGGTGCACAGGCAGTCCTTGAGAAGGAGATAGATATAGGGACTTTCATACAGAAATACAAGAAACTCCGAACAAGTTACCACCGCCGTGCTCTAACTCACCTTGCGGCTAAATCGTCTCCAATTTCTTGATGAAGAGCTGAAGATGGTTATTGATCCTGTACCCTAATGTTGAGTTCCTGGTGTAATGCAAGTTAATGCGTTCTTTCTTTATGGCTTGAGACTATTGTTTGTATTTATTAAAATTTATTAATTATTTGATAAATTTATAGAGTCTAATGATGAGAAATCTAGACAATTTGGGATGCATAATTTTTTTATATATATAAAAAATCTGAGTCATAATTGAGGATTTATTTTTAATAAATTCTAAATTTAAACCTAATCTTACTTAGAGTGATGAGAAGAGGAAACTCTAGATGAAGAAAGAGAAGTGCTATCAGTGGATCTAGGACATAAAACTTAAGGGTGTGTTTGGTTGGGGGGAATGTGAGATTTCCATGGGAATGAAATTTATATTTTTCCGTTTGGTTGGCTGAGAATGTCATTCCGGTAATCTTATATTACCAATAGTGGATTTTTTGGAGTATATTACCAGGAATGTCATTACCTTTATTTCTTTAAGTATTGTTGGATTATCGGCGTTTTGGACTAAAATGTTTTTAAAATTTTTTCTTTCATTCAAAAATATCCTTATTCTGTCATTGAATAATAAAATTTTACAAAGGTTAAATTACAAATTTATCCTTAAACTATTTTAGATTTACAAAAAAAAAGTCTATAATTAAAATTTTATATGAAGTTCAGGGTTAAAATAAAATTTTATCATTTCATTAAACATTTTTATATTTTCAATTTTGAAAATAAATTATATAAATTTTATGAATTAATTTTTTTAAAGAAAATATATAAATATTTTCCAACTTGTTAAAAAATAAATATATAATAAGGACAATTTGGTCAAACATACATTCTATTAATCTTTTTTTTCTTTTAATCAAACATAGTAATCTTACATTCATGCTAAACCAACCAAACACAAAATATAACATTCACATTAATTCTATTCCCTGATAATCTTTTATTCCCACCGATAATCTTACATTCCGTGAACCAAACGCACCTAAGGGAATACGAGGGAGCAAAGATGAACAATTTGAAAACCAACCAAACTTACTCGAGGAAGAATTATGTAGTAGCGTAGAAAAGTCGTCGAAATGCTAAAGCCTGTATAATATGTGCGAGAAACTATTTTATAAGCTTTCCTCATCAAGTAGAATATGAGCTTAATCAATAAAGTTAAAACATGTTAATATTCTTTTTTATTCATCATTACATTTGGACTTGTACTTTAATTTTTTCTATATCAGCATTAAATTCCAATCTTTTCTTTCAAACCTCTAAACTCCCTCTCCTTTTGTTAACCATAATCACCATAGCGACTGTTATTTTCCTTCCTTCCTCGTCCCGTTTGCAACCTAAATCATTTTTTTTCTTCAATACATATTAAGTTTGATCATAATCAATTTTGCAAAAAAATTTAATCGCCATAAGGTTGAAAATTTTAATTTCTATGATTTTAAGTTTAATCGTTGTGAATATATATATATATATATATATATATATATATATATATAAAGTTTAAACCCAGTAACTTTAAAATAATTCGACCCACCTTCAATTTCAAAATCCATGGATGAAAATCTGTATCAATTGGATCATCAAATAGCGGTGAATTTTTTTCGATTGTTGTACTAATGTAGGACTTATCTAATAATATAAGCCTATCGACTTTCAGTCTGAGATTGTGGTGAAAAAATTATTCAGGTTGCAAGAAAAGAGAAGAAAGGAAAGTGAAAGTGGCTTTAGTGATTGTGGTTAACGAAAGGCGGGAGGAAGCATAATATTAAATTATAATAACTTTCTTTAAGTTCATCACGATATTAATTATTACTATATTCGTAGTATAAAATCGTAGTTAATTTTTAAAAATAAACCATGTTGTAACATTCACAACACTTGGAAACACGACACCACAACTGCAACTGTATTTCAGTGCTACGAGAGGGAGTTAAGAGGTCTGAAAGAAGACTCAGATCTCATGATGATGTGGAGAAAAACAAATACTCATTACGTCTCATTATTTTTGTTTACGGTTGGCTAAACACATAGTTTCAAGAAATTAATTTGATCACATGTCAAGTCATATAAAATGAAAAAAATGACAAAATCACCCTAAAAATTGATTGTTAAATATGATGGATTTGTTCTTATAGGCAATATAATAAATAGTAAAACAATAAATATAAGTATTATTATTTTAACTTTTTATTATAACATTTTAAATTAGAGAATTTCAAAATTTAAAATGAAAAAAATTAAAGACACGGAGGAAGTAATTAAAATTTTTAGTCTAAATGTAATAATGATTAAGAAAAAATTATTAAAATATTTTAATTTTATTAGTTGGATTTATATCTTACATGATGAGGAGGATTATTAAAATAATTTTTTCGTATATATGCTTGGTTTCATCCCATTTTATTGACATGTTTGTAGTATGTGCTATGCTGTATTGAATCTATCACACAGTTTAAAGATTCACCCTTGTTTTTGCGAGATTTTAAATTCACATGGATTTATTTTTAGTTTGAAAATGTTACAATTATATTTTAGGTAAATAATTTTTAAAAGTATTGTAGAAAAGAACTTTAAAAAATGTATTTCAAAAATGCAATTTAAAATTTAATTGATTGATATCACTATCTAAAAATATTTTTAATAAGATAAAATGTCTCTTTCAGACATTATATTGTAAATTAAAAATATATTATTCTACATTATCTTAAATTTATTAATATTTTAATATATAAAAATATCAAATGAAATTATAAAAGAATATAAAAAATATAAATTTAAATTTTTTTAAAACAAAATGTAATTAGTATATAACTAATACATAATTTATAAAGACAACTGAGTTTTAATAATTTTTATGAATACAAGAGTGGGGTTCATGCATCACGGTAAAGGTAAAAATATAACTTCTCTTCTAAATGAAAATTTAAACTAGAAAAGTTAGAAAATTCAATTTTTATGATTAATTTAAAACTACCGTTATAAACGCATTTTTACTTTTAAATTTTACTCATTTAGTATTAATTTTGATTTCAAACCTGGTTTTTAAGCCAAAAATACGTTCAAACAGCACTACCAAACAAATCCTTGTTAAACTATACCCTCGTTATTTTCGGAATATCCTTCCCGATTACCTGGCTGCCTAAACATGTCACTTTAAAATCTTGCGGTAACAAGGTGTCATCTTTAAACTATGTTATACACTCGATGCAGCAGTAGCTCATACCCAGAGACAGACAAATTTAAAATTTTGAAAAAGAAAACAAATTATCAAAATAAAATATAAAAAAACATCTAATATATATAACAATTTAAAATTTTTAAGAAGACAACTGCCACTCGTTTTTCTCAATCCATCCCTGCACATGTCATTAGACATGTCAATAAAATGGGATGAAAAAATAACACATACCATATAGGCTTTAGCATTTCAATGTAAGAAACCTGTTTTCATTAAAAAACCTAATGAACTTGATCCCAGAAAATCCAATGGCAAATCACGAATCTAAGTTACAAACAAACTAGCATTTGGATGCAATCATCAGGTCCAAAAATTCTCATATAGCAACCCCATAGAACAGGGAGCAATTAATAAACCTGCCACAAATAATCGAGTCTATAGCATACTAAAAGCACAATCAGTTTGTTCCTCTTCTCTAGCATTTTACAATAAACCGGCCGATCTGAGAGCAGTTTTAAAGTCTTCTTCGTTCCTCCAATCAGGAACCTACACAAGCAAGGACGCGATAAAAGCAACCAGATGAAAATTTAAAAACCAAAAAACAATTGACCAGACGTGCACCAGCACCACACACAGGGAGGGCTCACCTCTGCTATTTGGGTGCCAAAATGATTTTCAATTTTGGACATTATCATTTGGTCCGCATCACCACATAGTAAGTTGAACACAGCTCCTGCAAATCAGACAGATATAATCCTGAATAATGTGCTCTACAACTAATGTTCTCATACAGAAAACAACTGTCGTATGCCATCGATACAAACATCAGCTTATCTAGCTACCAGTCAGGTTTATCAAGCAGCACGAAGCAATGCTTAAAGTGAAATGACATTTCCATTCAGAAACATACCCTTGCGGCCGAAACGCCCTGCTCTACCAATTCTATGCAAGTAAACCTCACAATCAGGCTCCATTCGGTTGTCATGTTTCACAGGAAGATCATAGTTGATGACCAAATTAACCTGCACAAAAATACAATATCAGGATGATACACACTGTTCATCGTAAGATAACTCGGGGAACACAGGAAAGAGATACCTGTTGTTGATCAAAACCACGGGCAAGAAGGTCCGTTGAGATGAGGACTTGAGTCAAACCATCTTTAAACTCTTTGACTATCTTGTCTCGGTCAGCTTGATTGAGAGCACCTTGAATTGTGGTAACATCATAACCAAGCTCAACAAGTGATCTATGCAATGTACTAGCACTGTTCCTTGTGCGTACAAATATTATTGTCTGCCCTAGGCGTTCTCCAAATTCAAAAATCCTCTCTTTAATCACCATAACCTTGGAAAGTTCATCTGGAACATTCACCTTGTACTGCTTCACCGACTCCAATGATAGTTCTTCCTTCTTGACAAAAAGTTGATTATGATCTCTCTTGACGATCTTTGATACAAAATTCTTTACAGTCTCACTAAATGTGGCAGAGAACAAGAGAACCTTGAAATTGGTTCAAAAAAGGTATTCAATCAGTCAATGGTCCCCAATATTGAGCATGCGCAAAAATAAAGAAAGAAAAGGTATTCATCATTCATTGTTCCCCAATACTAAGCATGCAACTAACTTGTGATAGTAACCCTCCTTTCTTACCCCATACAGGCATGGGTGTTCTTCAAAAACTGGATACCTACCCAACCAGCAAAATTATTCATTTATAACCTATGTCACACTTCATTTTCAACCATATCCAACTATAGGCTTCTTTTATAATAGTACATTGAACTGCCAGTTTTAGTCATTGTTCGATGACACTAGGCACTTCATTCATCTGAATTGATAAAGCAGCTATCAGGAGCATTCTGAAGATAAAGAACTGTTAAGATACTGTATAGAAAATATTGATCCAAGTATAAAATCTTTCCAACAGTCGCTAGATAATTTTTTTTTAAACAATACATAGAAAAACACCGGCATACAATATCCCACATACAAATAAAATTTATAGCAAATCCTTGACTTACAAACCTGGCAGTGAGAATTCATCCTTTGAATATCCTTCATTATTCTCAAGGAGTCATCTTTAAATCCATCCTGCACCAAAGACGTACATGAGCAAATCAGTGATCTGCAACAGATTCCTCTTAGCATGAAATCCAGTAAAGCTTTTAGATCATGTGATATTTTACTACATAACCAGAAGAGGACTATCCTTCCAAAATCAATTGTTTACACTTTACAAACAAAACCAATACAATCCTCCTCAATGCTCCCTCACAAACACTTCCCGGAACAGAGAATTTAGTGAACACAATAAACAAAGATATTTCTGATTGATAGCAATGTGGAAACATCTTTTAGAACTTTAATTGGCATGTCAATCCTACTATTCACAAAATTTAAATTCTTATTACCCCTTGACATTATCACTTAAACACTATTCTTGTCATCATGCTTTTCATTCTTCATTACAGTGCCATAAAAACCTATCCAAGCAACTCCCACAACCATGCTCAAAAGCCTTAGTGTTCAAATAAAATAAATAACTGACAAAGCAATGTAGAAAGGTTCTATAACCTTAACCTAAAATCCAAAGGACTCCATGCTGCATGTTGCATATGATTGAAGATGTTTCACTAATAAACACATGCAAAGCATTATTATCTACATATACAGCTGAACGAACCAAACCAAGGTAGTCACACGTTCATATGGAGAAAAGTTCCACAATGTTCCATAACTAACTGCATTAACTATAATTCTAAAACTTGCAACCAAGAACCCCCCCCCCCCCCAGCACGTATTGAGAACATGGGAACTACAGATTCTACTTTCCATAAAAAAAAGGAAAATAAACCAGAAAACAAAGGTTACCTCAGCCAACATGTGATCAGCTTCATCAAACACAAGAATCTTCACATTACTCACACCCAATTTCTTTGCCGACATCCACTTCTTAATAGTGCCAGGAGTACCAATAACTACTTGAGCTGTAACAGGTGGTCTTTTATTAATGGGAATATAATTAGAACTATCCATTGGAATAGCACATTCTGATGTTATCCCAGTATGCTTCCCCATCTTCCTAAGCACTTCCAAATTCTGTACCAATAAAGAGCCAAATTCCATCATCAAAACTGAACCCCAGATTTCGTTAAAAAAAAATACCGCCCCAAAAATTCAAATTTTCAGGAACATAACCTGAATAGCCAATTCTCTCGTGGGACAAATACAAATTGCTTGAGGAGCTTTTAGGTTTGGATCAACACGAGATAGCATTCCAAGAGTAAAGCAAGTGGTTTTCCCAGAACCATTATGAGCTTGAGCAATTAAATCCAAGTAAGGAGGCGTCAGAATCATTGGCAAACTAATAGCTTGAATTTTACTAGGCTTTTCAAATTTCATCTCAACATATAACCCTTTCAACAACTCAGGGGACAGATTCAATTCCTCAAATGTCAAAGCTGATGTGTACGGTGTATCACCAGATGTAACCTAAAAAAATTCAACCAAAAAGTTACAGAAGTTCAAAACCCTAAATCTCAGTCGGATTTAAAAGACAAAAAAGCTAAAGTATTTAGGTTCAGGGATCGATACCGCTTTGATGTTGGAGTCCTCTGGTTCGTCGAGGAACTTGTTGATCTTTTTATTTTCGTCGATTGTTAGGTTTTCAACTCCCAGCTCCGGCGCACTTTTTCCTTCCGATGTTGAAGAAGCGCTCGGTTCTTCTGAAGGGTCGTCTTCCAAATCGGCCCATCGAACAGGCGCCTCGGCTGTCTTTTTGGTTTCTTGAGGGGTTGGTGCCTCGGTGGAGGTAGTGGTGGAAGTGGCGGAGTTAGCAGCGGTTTCATCCATGAAGTAGAAATGAATGGAACAAACGGCAAACGATAAATCGATCTCTTTCTCTTTTTAGGAGGAGAACAGGGGAAAAATTTATATAGGGATGTGACCGACCGTTTAACCGACTTTTAGCTCGAGGTAACTAATTTCTAAATTTTAACTGCGGTTTTTATAGGTGAAAATACCGTACCATACTGTTAATTTTTTTATGGGCGTACTGTTTTAATTATTTCTGCTCAAGTATATCACATTTTCTAGGCTTAGATGTATCATTGTTCGATATATTTTCCTCAAACTATACATTTGCAACAACTTGGCAGAATTATCTACGGGGTACGTTTTGTTTACATAATGTAAGATTATTTTTAGAATAAAATTATTGAAATATAATATTATTATTAAAATGTTGTATTGCCTTATTTAGTTTATTTAACAGAAATGCAAGATTACTTAAATATATATTTTATCAAATTATCATTATGATATATTTTTTAACAAGTTAAACTTTATTTTATTATTATTATTCATTATTATTGTATTGTATTATTATTATTGCTATTTGCATAATATAAATGTATTCAAACCCAAACAAATGTAAAAATAAGCCCAAAAAACCAATTAAAATACTCATATATATTATATACACATATAACCCAATTCCTAACCCAAATACAACAAGCCCAAATTCGGTTAGCCCAATACACTTGTAGTTGGTTAACCCTAAAACCCAATTCTTATCTTTAGCCAACGGTCGCTGTCGACCTTTCCTCTTTCATGCCTCCACATCAGCTGGTAACTTGCTCCATGCCAGCAACAGTGGTCCCAAGCAACGGCAGCCTCCATGCATGCATCCAGCGGTCCCCAATGCTTCACTTTCCACACATGCAGCCGAACTTGTCCCAAGTCAGCACCAAATCAGGCATTAGTGCCTCGTCAAGAGCCACAAAAACAAAAGAAAACACAAATTAGCATATATGTAATTTCTTTCTCACTTTTGGGAGATATAAAATCCCAAAAAAAAAACTTCATTGTAACAACAACATTACGAAAAATCAGAAAGCAGCAAAAAAGAAGACAACCTTTCGATTGAAAGGTATTCTTTTCTCCTTCTCGTTATTTTTTTTTATTTTTGTATGTGTATGCGAGTAAAAAATAGCAACAGAGGAAAGAGCGAGTAGAGAGGTTACCTCGCCTTTCGTGTTCCTTGTCGGAGCTGAGGATGTCGTCGGAGACTAGGGAGTCGGAGCGTCGGGGCTTCGGTTGGTTTTTTGGGTCTCGTTCCTTAGGAGTTTCAGCCCCAAATCGGGACTTTAGATTTTGCTTAGGGAGCTTTTGGGGTTATTTTGGTTTAGGGCACAGAGCCCAACCACGGTGGTGGTGGTTGGGGGCGAGGGCGGCCGGTTTGTGGTGGTTTTAGGCAATTAGGCCTCTTGGTCGAAATGGATAGAGAGGAGGGGGTTAGTTTAGGCTTTTGTTTGGCTTTGTTTAGGGGTTGGTTTGACTCCTCGATCGGTTCGGGGTGGTCGTCGGAGAGAATGGCCACCAAAATACGGTGGCCGACGTGGGTTGGAGAGCTCTCGGTTGAGCATAGAAGAAGAGAGTGACAGAGCTTTGTTGAAACAAAAAAACAAAGGGGAGGATTTTTTTAGGCTTACGTCAAATTTTAGCCAATTTTGCTAAAAATGGTATTTATAGCTAGAGTTTTGGGATAATACCCATTTAGGTCCCTTTGAATTTTTCGTTATTTTATTTTGGTCATTAGGGGGCTTGTTTTGTTTGTTTATTCTGATTTCGACCTCTTGATCGCATTTATTTCAGTTTAGTCATTACTATAACTCCGATTCGTCTGAAATTAGCCACTGATCTTTAGATTATTTAACTTTTATCACTGTTTGGTATTATTTTGTCATTTTATTATGATTTTGACATGATAGTTTCAATTTATTCATTTTTAGTCACTGATTGGTTATGATTTGACTACTATTTTTATTTTATTACATTCTAGTCCCTAATATTAAAATACGAATATTAAATGCTAATACGATATCGCGATGATCCGCCATGGGGTATGATTCGTTACTCATGATCCAGGAAAAATTTAATTTTTTTAATTGTTATCCCGCTAATTTTCTAACTTCTAACTTCTAATTCATATAAAATATATTTGAATCATTCTACGACCTCGCGATGACCCACCCTGGGGTATGATTCGCGTCATTTATGTTCCAGGTAATAATTAAAAATATTAACCACTAATTTGTAATTTATTCAATCGACTTAATTTTTATTATTTAAATTGTGCCATTTTAATTTTTATATTATTTTAATTTTTTTCTTAAATTAACAATATTTGCATTTTAATCCTTTAATTTCAAGCTTTAATTTCTTATTGCTTGGACTTTATATTCTATTTTTATTTCAATTTAGTCACTAGTTTTGCTTATTAATTTTGACTATGAATTTTATAATTATTTTAATTTAGTCATTTTGTGTTTATTAATTGCCTTTAATTTATTTGACTTGCCATTTTGAATTTAGTTTAATTTAGTCATTGATAGTCTATTTAGGTCTTTAGATTAAATCCTTAGATTTAAACTTTTAACATTTTGGTCCTAATTTAGGTTACCATACCTTTAAATTTACTCTTTAAATTTAGATTCTCTTCAATTTAGTCTCTAGAGCTTTTAGTTTAGATTTGAATCAAATAATTGATTAAAATTAATTAGGATTAATATTAGAGCCTTCACTTTAGGTCTTTTTTCAAATTTAGTCCTTAAATTTAAGTGAATTCTTAATTTGGTCCTCGCTTTTGCTCAATGTTCCATTTTAATTATTCGAGTCAATAATTGATTAAATTTGAATATGTTAATATTTAGAGCCTCCATTTTAGATTCAATTTCACAACTAGTCTTTTTATTTAGGAGAATTTTTGATTTGGTCACTTTTGCTCGAGGTTCCATTTTGACTATTCAAGTTAATAATTTATTTAAAAAACAACTTAGATTAATATCAGATCCTACATTTTTAGGTTTAATCCCTTAGGTTCTTTAAATTTCATAATTTGACACTTTAAGTTAGAGAGAAACTTTAACTAATAATTAGGTTCAAAACTGATTGTTTGATTGTATTTTGTTTTAAAAAATAATAGTAAGGTAATATTTCATTTATTAGAGGGTTAGTAGTGTATCTCCCGCTTTTGCCCGGGTGGCAGTTATGGATTCTCGAAGTAAATCAACATCATTTTCAAAACCCCACCTCGTGATTTCTAAATTATTAAGGCAATGTTTATTTATTGTGCTGATAACAAGCTTCTGCTTTTGCTTGGGAGTTGTCGTTATTAGTCTTGGCAAATTGACATTCTTTTTAAAATATGCATACATAGAGAATTTTAAATTAAATAAATTTTGAGCTCAATATTTCTAATTTTAAAATATAGGGTAATCGACTAGGTACAAATTTTGGGTACTGTGGGGGTGTTAATCCTTCCCCATGTGTAATTGGCTTATAAACCAGATTTCTGTTTTCGTAGGCCAAAACTTGGTATTTTTTTAGTAAAATAAAATGTTTTATTAAAATAACATGTTTTTAGGTGTTCCAATCTCACCTTGAAAATGATTGGTGCTGACTCTAATCATTTCATAAAACATTTATTTTCCAAAAACGTCGAATCAGTCTTACCAACCAAAAATCAGTTACGACAACTTGGCGACTAAGATGAGGACATTTATTTTTTAAAACAAAATAGAATTGAGCCACAAATTGATTGTGTTATATTTTGAATATTTTGAAATTTCGAGTTTGTGTTTATTTAATTCATGATTCACTATGTTTATAGAAAATTAAAAGATTTTCTCTCTGGTTAATGCTTTCACTTGTTTGAATATATATATAGATCTGTTGCATATCATAACTCTATCCCGAGCTTTGTCCCGTTTCGCCTAAGTAGTGGGAAACGCCACACCTCCAAGGAATATTTTTTTCCTTATGCAGGCCTGGCAGAGTACCTCTGGAAAGCATTGTTTATGTCTGTCATGATATTGTTTTCCTTGATAGTCATACAGTAATGTGACCCCCTAGATTAAATTCGATATGAAAAGTCTGTAATGGGCCAGGATCGAAGTCCTTACTTACCTTAGCAGGTTGTAAGGACAGTTTGGGAACCTTTTTTAGAACCAAACTTCATGTAGAGAATTTAGTAAGCCTGCCATTCTAGAGCCACATGGATACATTAAGTGAATTAGAATGCATGCAGTTAGAATTTTAAACCTTCTTATGTGTTTTATTCACTGTGTTAAGTGTTTATTTAATAATTGAATTTTATTTATTTAATATTTTCCTTTAATTATTATTTTAACTTTACTAACTTGTTTTCTTTGTTTTGTTTCTTACTTTGCATGTTTTTTTATTTTCTTTGCATAAACATCACATGAAAATATAAGAGATTGATCCCTAAATTGGTTGATTACATTAGAATGTTCTTGAAACGATAATGGCTTCAGATGGGTTTGATAGAGTTTCAGAGATTCTCCCGTCGTCTGAATGGAAACAACTTCAGTGTGGAGATAGTCTAATTATTGGTGAATGGTTCAACCTCTCCGAGAAGGTTTCATTAAGCATCATGCAAAATAATTGGTCAGAGCTATTACAAATCTGGGAAGGATGGGATGAGAGCGAGAAGAAGTTGTTTTAGTTATCCTATAGGGATATAATCGAACTGCTAAAAGTTTCATTTGATGTCGCAATCATCTGAGCCATGGTGGAATGCTAGAATGTTGTTTACCGTTGTTTCACTTTTGACAAAGTAGACATGACTCCAATAATTTAACAATATATCACTCTATTGAATATACCCAACCTTGAGAAGTGCAAGGTATATGTCAAGGCAATTAGGCCTAAAGGTTTTCTGACGAAAGTTATGTTGCTCACAGGGAAGACCACGAGGGCATTTCTTGGGTGGTTTTGAAAAGTGAAAATCCATGAGCAACTGCCATCAAAGCGAAAGAGAGATATGTTTTCTCTAGCAATTTATGGGTTGGTCATTTTCCCCAAAGT